TTTATTTAGTGTTTAAGATTATATAACTGTATTTGATTGTTATTCCTAGGATTTCACCTGTAGTATACCGTCCCGTATTAATATCGACCCAAACCCGTCCCACCATATAACCCGTCCCATGAAATTAAACATCATTTTGTTATATTTCTTTTTAATAATATTTTTATTTAAAAACATATACAATTCGAGTCAATTTATAAGTTTGCTTTAAAAAACATATAGTTGTAATGTTTTTATTATAATAAAGTAATAATATATAGATGTTGCTTACTATAGTTATAATCAAAACCAACTAAAAATCTAAGTTTAGTGTTGATTATGAATCATAGTTACGACCAAAAAAAAAATTAATCAAATACAATTAGTGTAAATTAACTAATTAAGAAAACAAACAGAAATATAACAAAACTTGCTTTAAAATCGTTAACAAAAAAAGGAAACATCATATTTAAGCAAGATCTTTGGAGCCAAAATCTTTTTTTCATATCTTTTATTTAATTTTCCAAATCTTAAGAATTAAATCCAGTGGCATTCCATTGTAAATAGTAGTGAAAGCCAGGATTTATTTCATAATTGTATTCAAAAATGTATATATAAGATAAGAAAAGCAAGGAAATGAAAGCAAAATTTCGGGTGGGGCATTTGTTCTAAAAACGTGAGAACTACTTTTATATAACCGAAGCAAAACAAGTCATTCTATTTTATGGAAACAATAAAAATACCAAATTCCATTTTTCTATATCAGTCAGTTGGAAATTAACATATGTTCGTTAGTATCCACATTGATGTGCAACGCCCTCATACTTTGTTCTAGGAGAGGCACAATGCTAGTGGGATTTAAATTTAGAAGATAAATTGTATAAGCAAGAGAGGTGGAAATCATGGTTTTGCCTAAACTTTTGAGTGCTCGAGACGTTTTAGAACATATGGCACTTTTTTATAAGATATTCAATCATCATTTTTCAAGTCTATATACAATACAACTGCGCAATGTCGCAGAAAACTAAATATATTAAAAAAAATCATGTCGTAATCATTTAATTTGGTCTCTAAAATGAAAAGAAGAAAATTCTAAATGCAACATGATCATATTTTATGAAAAAAGACCGAAGTTTATATATTTAATTTTGGTCTCTGAAACTAAAAGAAGAAACCTCTAAATGCAACATGATCATTTTTTTATGAAAAAGACTTAATTAGTTTATATATTTGATGTGGTCATTACTTGATCATTTACGCCAATAGAGAAGTAAAGTTGTTTCACCTCTTTCTTGACTTTCTCAGAATTGTTAAGTTTCTTCAAAATTGCTTGGGTTACTTAATCCTCTGTATAAAAGCTTTCAGGAAAGTTTCAATGACAACAAGGTACAATTTTTCGTTTTAATTTGTTTATAAATTTACTTTAGTCATTCCTTGATAAGTTACACCATTAAAATATAAAGCTTTCCTGAAAGTTTCAATTGCAGGGTACAAAGTTTTGTATTAAATTGATTTAGAACCAAAGAAAGAAAGTTAAATTTGTAGGGAAAAAAAGATCTCTGTTTGGTTTTAAAATGCAGAAAATAAAAAAACGCTAGAGAGAGGGGTCGAACCTCTGACCTTGTGGTTAACAGCCACACGCTCTAACCAACTGAGCTACTCCAGCTTGATGTTCATATTAACATTTAATTAAATATTAACCATAATATTATTGTATATTTATATGAACCACATTTTGGAAGCTAACTGGGGTGTCTCAATTGTTTTTCTCTGTGTAAAACCTTTGATTCAAAACTAAAAATTCGAAGACTTTAAATGTTAAATCTTATTTTGTATTCTTGCTCAATCTACTAGAAATATATAACAGAATTTAGATTTGAACAATATTTTGTTCACTAATTATGTTGAAGTGAACCTTGGACTAACCAAAGTTACCAAACCATCAATTCTCTTGTTTTACCAAACCGTTATCAATATGAAGTATGATTTTGTTCTGAACTTCGTTTCTTTTCACATGTTAAATAACTCTAAATATCATAACTAACCCCATGTCACAAAATATAAAAAAAAACTTGACCTACTCATGTTGGTAAGAGATTATATGATACCATCATACAAATCACTTGTGTGTAATAAACAAAACAATAAAGACATAAATCTTCAATATCCAGAATATATGTATAAATAAAATTATAAACTGATAAATAAGTATTCTCTCATTACAAATCGTGTTTGAATAACATAGAATTTATTGGGAGAACCGGAGATCGACCGAGATCGACGATCGAGATGATCGCCTAAGATTATGGAAGAATGTGGAGATCGTGGAAGGTCTAATAAGAAAAAGTGAATTGGATGATGGTATTATATAATTTAATAATAAACATGGAGTAGGTCAAGTTAATAAATATATTTCGTGACATGGGGTTAGTTATGATATCTAGAGTTATTTACATGTGACAAG